TAAAATCAGGGGTTCCCATACACACACTCTGGCCACAGCTCTTTCCCTTTGACTGTTGGTACTGGAGAGCTGTCCCATGCCAACTCGTCCACTGAAAGGTAAGGCGACATGGTCAGCAGTTCCTTGAACGTGGCTAGTCTTCATCGGTCCACATACAAAATGAAAGATTTAGTATAGAGGTGTCTTGAGTCTGAAAAGTCTGTGTCGCTTAATAGTGTCATAATCACTTGTTTCATAACTGAGGAAATACTGTCTGAAAAGATTAAGTAATCCTTTACAGATGAAATTACCACAGTTAAACAGATTAAATGTGGCAAACCCCAGCAACAAGGATGAAATGCTGAAAACTGCCCTAGAAGATAGGAGATAAAATTTAGAGAAATGATGTGAGTGGCAGACTGACTTCTCATTAGAGTTTTTTAGGCACTAAAAGGGGGTAGGGGGGAGCCAATCGCTACCCAGAATTCTACACATCTCTAGCAAATAACATGCTTTGATAATGAAAGTAAAATAAATGTCTCAAACATAAAATCGTTAATAATTCTTTTCATACGAAAGAAAACTGAGGGAACTTCTCAACAGCAAAAAGAAAATGAAATAAAAATTAAAGATAAAAAATCGATCGGGTAAATAAGACCAGATAGAGACTCGGAGTTTCACGAAGGAAGGAAGAACATAAGAGGTGGCAACTGTGGTGCGTATCTAGAATGTGCCACCCAGAATCCCCTTCAGGGACAGCCCCTTGCTCCAGCCGAGAGCGCTGCCAGCGGACAGCCTTTAGTTTTCTGGGACTTCAAAGGGGGTTTGCTTTCCTTGCTCAAAATCAAGCCCTTCCCGGGGCAGCCCACCCAGTAACTGAGTAAGGCGGAGATATAAAGACCAGCGTTCTCATCGAAGTGGAATCTCTCAAGGGCCAGCTAGCTCAGTAGTCCCCCACCCCCACCTGCTGTGTCTGATCAGAGTGAGGGTTGAGATGCACGAACGTTCTGTACATCAAACTCCAGCTAAGTCTGACTCCGGGAAAACCTGCCATGGCATCAACAGTTAGGAGCATCAGAGATGCTTGAAGAAAATTACCTCCTTATCAACGGAAGAGCTGCCGGGTGGACCTCAGTGCTGCAGCTTCTCTATGGTACTTTCCTTAAACAGAATAAGATTATGTTCCCAGAATGGAGCCTAGGTTTTCAGACGTGCAAGGCATATAAATTCAAGGTATGAAAACCTTGAAATTCTTTGTTTAGGGCTAACGCATGAATGATGTCAGTTCTTGGGGGAAATGAGTAGATTATAATCAACTCTCATAAAAATTACATGTGTTTGTGATGTTTATCATTTCTTAAAGTGATAAACGGTGATTACTTCTTAGTGTCACACAATCCAAAGCTACATGACACCCATTGTCTGGCTCCCTAGACCCAGACAGGAGCTAGAAAATGGGAGTCAGTGACATCAAGGGAGAAGAGGAAAAATCGCCTTGTCACTGATAACATCTTAATGACTGCATAGATTAATTCTTCAGACGCAATATAAAACCAAATGACCACTGGATAGTTTTGTTCAGAAGCATCATCCGCTGAAGTTCCCCTAGTCTCTTTGAGACATAGTTTACCTACAGTGAGTACCTTCATTTATCCCCATCCTGTTCTAGCCATTCTGAGCTGGCTAGCCTCCCTGTATCTAATGTATGTCTCAACCCATTTCTCAATCTCAGAGCATTTCTTTCCTCCTAAGTACGTAATCTGTTGGCGATATTTTCTCCTTTCCCATCTCTTCTTAGATCTTGCTCTCTGTTACAGAGAGGAAAAGAGATTTTGGCCCCTCAGACCCAAATGTCAGCATTTCTGGTGTTTCCTCCATCATTCAAATCTCTGTATTGGCTTAGAGGGAACATCTGCTCCATACGTGGTTCAAAACTGCTGGATTTTTCTATACTCCCCAGTATAGATAGGAATGTCTAGCATTCATGTCCTTCCTCTACAATTCCCTTCTCAGCCACCAACATAACCCTATTGTAAGAACCCCTGCTAAGAAACTCCCTATTTCTATTATCTCACAGCTCTTCCTGGCTAGCTCTACCACTCACCATATCTGGTATGCGAATACTTTACTGAGTGCCACTGCCAAGCAAGAGGATGCTGCCGCCACATTATTCTCCAAAACTACTGCCCTAGATTATTGTTTCTTTTCACAAGCTAACAGATGACCTCGCCGTTAACTATACAATATCCAGATGATCTATTTATTCATTAAAGCCCCTGGGAATGCACCCTTATTTTTTATTATTATATAACACACTGTTCCTGCAAGCTAGGTCCCATTGTCTCACAGAACCTCCTGGCCTTTGTTCCTGTTACACATCCCTCCTCTCAATTTCTTCTCTGACTTTCTCTATCTCCCCAAAGCTGTCAGTCAAGACCCAACTCCTCTGTAACACTATCAACACCCCATGGTTTTACCTTTCCTCATTTTT